GGTTCCAATGGGTACCACTAGTCTTTAGGAGGAGGGAAACCTAGATTTTATTAGGTTTGATCCTAAACCTACGCAAGCGAGTGCATCATCGTCGTCGTTTGGTCGACAGACTCAACCGACCTAGCACTAGTATAGGCCTAGCCCAGCTCGAATCCGTGTCTTGTTCAAGTTTGATCTAATGAGAACTTTAGGTCTATGACTAGAGCTTCATGGTCTGATTTGGTTCCTTTTGTAGACTTCTCTTCGGCTTTTTATGGTGCACTAATGGATTTGGCTGGTAGCTGACACTCCAAATTAGGCCTTAGAGCTGCACTGGGTCAACAATTTGGAGCCACATTATGGATAGTGGCTCTCTCCAAATTTGAAGAGTCAAACTCACACCCTTTAAATTAAAATATAAATTTAAAAAGTTTCTTTAAGTATGATTTTAAGGGTTACCTTTTTTAAATAAAGAAAATATAAATTTAAAGAGTTTCTTTAAGTATGATTTTAAGGGTTACCTTTTTTAAATAAAGAGTATATTATGTTTAAAGAGTCTCATAGAAATGATCTAAATATACATACAAAGAAAATGGAGAGATGTGATAAAATAAAGGAAAGTTGGCAAAAAAATAGAGAAAAATAATAATAAATTCAGATTGAAAGTAGTAAAATTAAGTGTTGAAGATAAAGACGTTGGAGCAATTAAAAAAAATTTACTTTTTAAATGTTATAGATGCCCTCTAAATTGCAAAAAATGTTATTTAAAAATTAGAATCTCTTGAAGATGTTTTTACTATCTACATATATAAATTAATTAATTTGTCTTTGGGGTATTTAGCCTTGCAAAGTGGTCCTTGCTGATTCATACGGGATTCCACATGTCCCATTGTCTTTTCATTAGAAGTCAGAAAAAACCAACTATGAAAAAAGAATAGGAACAAAGAAAGAAAACTCTACTTGAATCCATTTTCTTTTTTTATCGACAAAACCTGTGCTCCTAGCAATCCTACTTGGGGAGATTTGATTCATTCTGAATTAACAAATTCAGAATAAAATGGCAATCTGTTTTGCTGCATCTGAGATTACATTACCTCTTGAGAGTGAAAAGTCCATTTTACCAGAGGTTTCTAATATATCCTTGTGTGATTCCTTTTGAAACATACACTCATGGCCTTAGTTTTCTTAAGATTCTCGTGTATTCTCTACTCTCCTCAACTTGAACTCTTCGGAGTAAATTCCATATGAATTTACCCGTCCACACGCTAGGTTAGCCGAAAGCTGGTTATCAGTTCAAAATTGTAAGGTTCCAATTCTAAGAGCTCGGATCGAATCGGTATTGATTCCTCATTTTCCTTCATTTGTCTTCCTTTCTAAGTTTTCTTCCTTTTTGCAATAAATATAAAGCATTCGCGGATATCTAATCTCACTATATATTTCAACCTACGCACATATGATTGATAATTCGAGAAATCAATAAATTTTTCCAGTATTGACTTTAACTCCCAATAATAAGGTGGCCAGAAACGACATGCAGTCGCCACTTGAACCATATGCAGTAGAACTTAACAATGCTGTTCTTTAGCGTAGAGCTATTAGGAGCCATCTGTCACCCATAGACAAAACTAATAAGTACAACAAACATGATTTTAACATCATTTTCCTATTTATCTCTTGAAAGTTTCATTTCACTGGTTTTCAAAATCTGGCTAGTTGGTTACATCTACATAAATAAACCGTCCAGAATATAACATATGGGGTTTTGCTATTCGTCGCCCTGGACTAATAGTGGGGCGTGTAGTGACACTCTAGCAAAACCATAACATATGACACACAATTCTACAAAAGACTAGAAGCTAGAAGTCCAGTAGAAATACCAGTTAAAATGAACTCTGTTGGCCTTTTACCGATAACTATGAATAATACTATAAGTTTTTGGGAAAATTCACTAAATTGCAAAAAATTGTATACTTACAGATAAATAGTTTCTGGTTTCAAGGATTCAATAAGATAATGAATCTCAGCGCAAAAATAAAATTAATAAAGTACTTGCCCAGAAATGTGCTAGCAGCCGCTTAAGTTGATCTAACAAATAAAAACTATTAACAGAAACTGATTTGATTTGCATATTGGATGTATTCTTTTGCTTCTTCCCATCTCAAATTCTCAACCAGCAATCTGTAAATGTAAACGAGTGTTACTAGTGTTTCAATACCAAAAACCAATATCCCACATAAATGAGGCAAACCCGAGTAATGTTCCTCATAGATACTTCAATTTCACTAAAGGAAGCTAATACACCCCGCATAGGATCATTGAACAAGCATAATGAAGAACATATCAGATGGAAGGTAATAATGGAATATCTCCAGAAATTTACAATGCAACATACAGATGCAAACAATAAGCCAAAATCACTAATCCAATAGAAATTCAAAAATAGCACGTCGGAGCTGTGTAACCCTACTGCATTTGTGCCAAAATTCATGACAAAACAATATTCATGAGAGATTCGGCTTTTGCTCCTGAAATCCATGAATTCTAGTAATCTAATCAATATTACTAGAAGTTTAATATTGAAGCTTTTTATTAGAAAATAATATAATAACTTCTAATGAGCAGGCCATAAATTGCCAAAATTTCTTAAAGAAATGTTAATTGCTTCACGAAACGAAGTACCATTCCATAATAATCAAAATATAAGTAAACTCAACTTCACCAAATACTGACAGGGACTTGAACTATTTGAAATTGAGTATATATGATCCTTAATTTAGCAACAAAAATGAAAAACTAACCTTAGCTTTATTCACATCACCATGCAGAAACCACCAGGGGCCCTCTTTCGACATTAACCTGAAGAGCAAGAGTACTTCATAATGAGATTCACGTTAAAGAAGCAAAACAAAATCATATCATTCACAATTTTAATAATTTTGTTCATCCAAAAATGAGCTTCAGTTCTAACAAGCATATGCCAATACATAAACCTATATCATTTCGTTTTACATAAAGATGTCTATTGCTGGATGACCTCACAAACACTGTAGCCCACATTTGGTCTTAATACTTCGCAATTCCTAGTTTTATATACTACTTAGATGTAGGACAATTCTATTTAGGACTGATTTTATCTCTTTTTCTTCTTCTTTCTTACTTAAAATTCTTGATTAAAATATTATTCTTCTTTCTTTTAAATTAGAAATTTTAGTTTTCTTATATTAGTAAGGTTAGGGAATTATTTTGCATATAAAAAAAAAGGCTTGGTACACTTTTCAATCATCAATTCAAAGACAATAAATTATTCTCTACAATTTTTTGAGTTTTTTTACTTTATTATTGTTTCAAGAATTACAATTCTGCTTCCACACCAAAATTGGTATCAAGAAAAGGCTTGCCCTTAGCTGATAAGCTACCTATGGTGGTTGTGGTACGCATCCTTGCAACGATGATCGGAAGATTAGAAAATTAACAAACTTAATTCAGAATCTGGAACTAATGATAAATATGTTTGAAGATACAGCTACCAAGAACTTGTAGACTTTGATTGCTATTAATATTGGTTGCTTCAACAAGCTCAAAACATGGCAACAAGTGGCTAGAGAATTTCCTCTAGTCCCAGCTACATTTGAATATTCACAAGCTATCAAGGTTTTTGTGGAAGTTTATCGCAAAGGTATAAAGGAGTCAAATTTAAAGCACGACAAGATTTTTAGAATACAATGCATTATCAACAACAAAGTATGCAATGTGATAATGAGTCATGGAAGTAGTGAGAACATGGTATCCAAAATATTGGTGAAAGCTTTAAATTTGAAAAACCATAACATATGACACACAATTCTACAAAAGACTAGAAGCTAGAAGTCCAGTAGAAATACCAGTTAAAATGAACTCTGTTGGCCTTTTACCGATAACTATGAATAATACTATAAGTTTTTGGGAAAATTCACTAAATTGCAAAAAATTGTATACTTACAGATAAATAGTTTCTGGTTTCAAGGATTCAATAAGATAATGAATCTCAGCGCAAAAATAAAATTAATAAAGTACTTGCCCAGAAATGTGCTAGCAGCCGCTTAAGTTGATCTAACAAATAAAAACTATTAACAGAAACTGATTTGATTTGCATATTGGATGTATTCTTTTGCTTCTTCCCATCTCAAATTCTCAACCAGCAATCTGTAAATGTAAACGAGTGTTACTAGTGTTTCAATACCAAAAACCAATATCCCACATAAATGAGGCAAACCCGAGTAATGTTCCTCATAGATACTTCAATTTCACTAAAGGAAGCTAATACACCCCGCATAGGATCATTGAACAAGCATAATGAAGAACATATCAGATGGAAGGTAATAATGGAATATCTCCAGAAATTTACAATGCAACATACAGATGCAAACAATAAGCCAAAATCACTAATCCAATAGAAATTCAAAAATAGCACGTCGGAGCTGTGTAACCCTACTGCATTTGTGCCAAAATTCATGACAAAACAATATTCATGAGAGATTCGGCTTTTGCTCCTGAAATCCATGAATTCTAGTAATCTAATCAATATTACTAGAAGTTTAATATTGAAGCTTTTTATTAGAAAATAATATAATAACTTCTAATGAGCAGGCCATAAATTGCCAAAATTTCTTAAAGAAATGTTAATTGCTTCACGAAACGAAGTACCATTCCATAATAATCAAAATATAAGTAAACTCAACTTCACCAAATACTGACAGGGACTTGAACTATTTGAAATTGAGTATATATGATCCTTAATTTAGCAACAAAAATGAAAAACTAACCTTAGCTTTATTCACATCACCATGCAGAAACCACCAGGGGCCCTCTTTCGACATTAACCTGAAGAGCAAGAGTACTTCATAATGAGATTCACGTTAAAGAAGCAAAACAAAATCATATCATTCACAATTTTAATAATTTTGTTCATCCAAAAATGAGCTTCAGTTCTAACAAGCATATGCCAATACATAAACCTATATCATTTCGTTTTACATAAAGATGTCTATTGCTGGATGACCTCACAAACACTGTAGCCCACATTTGGTCTTAATACTTCGCAATTCCTAGTTTTATATACTACTTAGATGTAGGACAATTCTATTTAGGACTGATTTTATCTCTTTTTCTTCTTCTTTCTTACTTAAAATTCTTGATTAAAATATTATTCTTCTTTCTTTTAAATTAGAAATTTTAGTTTTCTTAACCAATTCATGGTATCGTATTAGAGAAATGTTAGCAGTGCTTACATTAATTAAACAGATGAACATGAATGAAGCCACAAATGGAAAACTTACCAAAACACCAGTTCTAACAACTCTTAAAACTTCAACATCCTTGGGAATTATTTTGCATATAAAAAAAAAGGCTTGGTACACTTTTCAATCATCAATTCAAAGACAATAAATTATTCTCTACAATTTTTTGAGTTTTTTTACTTTATTATTGTTTCAAGAATTACAATTCTGCTTCCACACCAAAATTGGTATCAAGAAAAGGCTTGCCCTTAGCTGATAAGCTACCTATGGTGGTTGTGGTACGCATCCTTGCAACGATGATCGGAAGATTAGAAAATTAACAAACTTAATTCAGAATCTGGAACTAATGATAAATATGTTTGAAGATACAGCTACCAAGAACTTGTAGACTTTGATTGCTATTAATATTGGTTGCTTCAACAAGCTCAAAACATGGCAACAAGTGGCTAGAGAATTTCCTCTAGTCCCAGCTACATTTGAATATTCACAAGCTATCAAGGTTTTTGTGGAAGTTTATCGCAAAGGTATAAAGGAGTCAAATTTAAAGCACGACAAGATTTTTAGAATACAATGCATTATCAACAACAAAGTATGCAATGTGATAATGAGTCATGGAAGTAGTGAGAACATGGTATCCAAAATATTGGTGAAAGCTTTAAATTTGAAGACTGAAAAATACTCATCTTGCTATCAAGTTTCTCTAGATAAAAAAGAAGATAAGAAATTCAAAAAATGGAGGTATGCAAAATTTCAGTTTCTATGATGAGATTGTGTATAACATGGTAGAGATGGACAATCACAGTACTATGATGAAGATGTCACTTAAAAAGGTTGAGATTGCATGTATGCATTTTGATGGGTACGATAAGAAGATTGTTCTATTATCACTTGATGAGCAATTTGCAAATATGTAAACGAAGAGCAAAAAATTTATACAGTGGATGAAGTTAAAAAAATCATTCAAAATTATCAGGATGTTCTTGACCATGATACCAAAATAAATGTAGAAGAGCATGTGCAAGTTGAAAACCCGAGGTTAGATGATGCCTTATACATGAAACTGACAAGAAATGTGCTTAAAGATTAAAAACACTAGAGTGAAATTGCAATTGAAGACCTCAAGATCAAGCCGTACACTAATGAAAAAATTAAAAGTTAAGAAGAATATAGCCGAAGAAAAGGGAATTGAACATTTCAATCAAGCAGCAATCAAAAGTAAGGCTTGTCAAATTGAAAACAAAAGTTTCGTTGATGTTCTCTAGTATTCGAATGTCAAAGAATTGCGTAAGCACAATGATAATATAGTATTGAAGATGACATCAATAGAAGTAAAAAAAGAACATAAGAGGTACAAAGAATTGAAAGTGTTTATATGTGCACATGGGGTTTAAGAATGAGAGATTAAATAAAGCAACGTTCTAAAGGAATGCCACAAAAGGAAGTTTCTTTAAGGATAAGAAGATGAGCAGAAGGTTGATGTCATTCAATGCAACTGTGGAGAATAAAGAGAAGGATATTTGTTTAATATGCGAAGTGGCAAAAATTGTTTAGTATTTTCCTCGAGGTTGATTGATTTTTTTCTTCAACCAAACTAGAGGACGAGTTTTTCTTGATGTGGGTGAGAACGATGTAAAACAATCAGATACCAAATATGATTGGTTTTAGAAAATGATTTCTTCTTTTACATTAGGATTTCTATGTTCTTTCCTTTTAGGATTTTAATTTAGTTTTCTTATATTAGAAAAATAAGAGAATTATTTTGCCTATATAAACAAAGTTTTTGTACACTTTTCAATTATCAGCTCAATAAAAAAATTTGTTCTCTCAAATTTTTGAGTTTTTCATACTTTATTCTTGTTTAAGAATTCTAATTCCGCTTCCATACCACTACTCGGGAATCTTTCTAAAAAAGTCAGATTCCACCTTGTGAATAGTATACCACTATTCTAATCCCCACAAAAGCATAGTTGAGAAAGAAAGATAAATGTCATTTAATTCCCCAATTTACCTGATAATTCCTGCCATCATTCGTAGTCCCATGAAGAGAGTCAAGCCTGACCAAACACCAGGAAGACCAAAAACCGTAGGAGCATATAGCAAAAATGCAGAAGATATTGCCCCCACCACCATCTACATATCATAACCACATATATCAACCTACATTTCATGCTCTCATTAGCGACACAACAAAATAGATTAAGCTTACCATAGAACGTGCCGCATAAGGGAAGTCAGAAACACCATAATGGAGGCCATCGAAAATAAATGCTAGAGCATTTAAAGGTTGACTGACACTTACAAACTGTACCAATTCATGGTATCGTATTAGAGAAATGTTAGCAGTGCTTACATTAATTAAACAGATGAACATGAATGAAGCCACAAATGGATAACTTACCAAAACACCAGTTCTAACAACTCTTAAAACTTCAACATCCTTAGTAAACAAAGTGGCCAAAGAACTAAAAGAAACACCCAAAATCACAGCTAAGGAAACACCAGCGACAAATCCTATCTGGAAAAGCACATGCAAGAAAAAATAAAGCATATTCACATAACCAACAGTTCAGACTTACATCCTAAACGTCACGTGAATAAGAATCAGCAGAAATGAAGTCTCAGAGCATATACAACCCAAAAAGTACCTTTAACACGAAGTGCGTGACATCCTTCACAGTCCTGTAATCATCTTTTGAAATATAACTGGCAACCAAGGCCTGCAAAAAACAAAATCTACTATAGTACAAAATAGAAAAACTATGACAAGTGTGCAGTAACACTGCCATGATGTAGATATTTCGATGAGCCCAGGAATATTCAATTTCAGAAAATAACTGTCGCTAGATGCCATATCCGGAATTTGACCAATTGATTTATAAGAAAAATATTAACTGCAGTTCCTATAATTCATATCTGCTAAACATACAAAACAAATCAAAGAGAACATTCTACTGAATAGGCAATGCAAATGTAAATGTATTCTTCCAAAACAAATTCTTTTTTTTTTGCTTGACCTTCTTGAAAGTGTAGATCGAAAGGAAAAAACAAAAGAAATGAAAAGAAAAATATATAGACAGAGCAGATGAATTGACAAGTAAAAGAAGAAAGATAACCATAGCAAAAGAACGAAAACAAAATGAGACATAAAGGAAAAAAAAATCACCTGAGCTGATGTACCAAGTGCATCTGTGAGAAGGGATACAGCCAGCCAGACTTGTACGCATATTTGGTGAGCAGCCATTGCTACAGGACCCTGACGAGCAGCCATTGAAGTACCGAGTGTCAGTGTCAGAAGAACAGCAAGAGTTCTCCCAATAAGAAAACCACCTAACAGGGCAAAAACACAATTACTTTAAAAAATTAAGGCATATATTAGGAGATATTTCCATAGCACATTGATTGCAACTGAGAAGAAAATTGATACCAAGTATAACATCTAGGAGAGCATAAACTATTTGATACTCTAGACGACAACTGATTGGAATAATTAAAAATAGGGAGTCTTGGAGCTAAAATCATACAACATTGCTAAAATATTGGCAGCATAACTAATGTGTTCAATATAGGTACTTATCTTAGATCAATCATTTCAACAATTGATATTCAATTCCAATAACATGGAAGAAGTACTGGCTATACCTTTCACCACAAGTTATTTCCTTCAGATGGTGAAAAGGTGTAAAATGCTTTTAATAGGAAAGAAAAAGAACATGTATGCAAAAAAGCACAATGGTTTAACAAAGGGACCTCACTAATTTTGTAGTAAGGACGCGACGTGCAAAAATTTAGGACCTGCTGACTAGGTGCATACGGCAACTTGTTATATTAACAATGCTGCCCTTAAAGCTGTTTTCCTGTTATATTTACAACCCTACCCCTATAGCTGCTTAAAGTTTTTTATGCTAATGGTTCTAAATTCTAAATATAGAAGAATTCAGATCATTAAGTAAGAATGTAGGTAGAGTTCCAAGGCTGTTAGCAGTGTGTCAAGTCAATAGATGAATTTAGTAAACTGTAGGCAAATCAGGGCAAATCTTGAAAATCAACTTCAGTAAGCTGAGATTTCACATATTGAAAAGATCTGTTGGAATTCAATCTGGGGCTCGAGAAAAAAAAGTTTCGAACCAAGGATAGCAATAAATCATAATTTTATGCATGCTGCCTTCTATCTTGGTGAATGCATGCATACATTGTATATGGCCAAGGTCCAGAATAATTCTCAACAGGCCTTCCATGCTACAGCAGTCAAGCATTAGAATAGCTTCTGTGTCGGTTAGCCACTCATAAGAATAAATCCATGAAAATGTACACAGTGCATTCCTCTCAAAGTGAAAATTGACCAAAAAAATGCTAACAGATAAAATCTTCCACTACAGAAACTTAACAATAATTATATTAACTACTTTGACCAACATACACAAGTCACCTGATTTTAGATAACCACCAAATTGCAGTCCTCCGAGTTTCGGAGGCAATAACACCACTCTCTTACTCAGACACCAGATCATTGCAAAAGCGACGATGTATCTGGATGCAAGGATCATGGAATTAAACTAAATATTCAAGTAAAACCAAGTACAAGAAAAATTAGGCCTAAAACAAGGTCACAAGATAAATGAATACAAAAGGTATTGAAGAGACAAATGAGAACAGGAGCCGCACTGTGATATAACTGTAGAAATGGCAGCTCCAGAAACCCCCAAATGACAATAATATATAAGTAAAGGAAATAGAAATATAGCCGTAAAATTCCCAAAGCCTGCAGTGAGAAACAGCGCAATTAGCAAAAAGTATAATATACGTAGAAATAGAAAGTTTGTGTACATAATTACTGTATGGACATAATCAGTAGAAACATAGCAGAAATTATTACATAGTGGATAATTTATTCTGTCAAATTTTATTATAAGTCGGAACCAAGATTTATTATTAGAAAGCTCGCAAAAAATGAATCAAATTAGAACAAAAAGGCCTTCTGGAAAATTTTCATAGATGATACGACTGTCAGATTTGTCTCGATGTCTCTCAATCGAGAGTTTCTTCTCATTATATGGGAATTGTTTCCATAATTACAGCCTAAATATCGTCTGTCAAATCTCTTAATTACAGCTCCCATTCTAAATTTACAATGAGAAAGGAGATATAATTATATACATAATATGGTGACTAATGACTGAAACAGTGACAACGACAACAAACTCAACCTTATTCCAATTAAATTTTGGTGTGAATCCTTTTTCACTTCTCCATTCACTACTACATTTCATTGCTAGATGTAGTGGAAAGCAGTTTGTGATAGATGATTAATCTATTTAAATTGTTCTTTGTTATTAATTTGCAAAAGAGAAAAACAAAGAACCTCTGTCGTTCAGACAGCATAAATGCATGCAAAGGTTCATTTTACCATTGACTACAGAGACAAATATGAGCTCAAGGCAGGTAAGACAGAATGAGGTAGGAAATAAGAACAAGAGGAGTTATGCCTTTCAATCCAACACACGTAGACTTAATTTTTCAATAAATTTTTTGGAAAAATGATAGCTCAATGTACAAACTTTAGGCAATTAAACCCTTGGTACTTGCCTAAACAATATACAGGTGTCTTTGTATCCTTAAAACCACGAAAAATTCCTTGAAGAGCCAAAGAAACAACAAATGCTGGAGCACCAATAGCCCTCAGAATAAGAAATCGTTGTGCTGGAGCACGCATAGAAGAAAACTGTAGAAAAAAGTCAATGCAAAACATTATTTTCGTACACGACAGTGATACACATACGAGCATGTCTCTTTTAGTCTGTGACTGTGCATGAGACAGAATAATAATTCTGATTAGTAGCACCAGATGGAAGGAAACAGGGAGGATTTTGGAATTTCAATATACAAGTAGATGCATACCTGTGATATGCCCATCAGACTGAGAAGCTGTCCAGATCCTAAAGATAGGGCCACAGCCTCAAAGATGCCAATGCAAGCAGCTAGTAGTAAGGCTGTGGATACAGAAGATAAGTGCAACCTTTCCGTGGCAAGTATTAAAGATTTTCCATGGGCACCTTCCTCTTCATCTGTAAAACGACACCAAAAAGAATCTAAAGATTGTAAAAAATCTAACAATGATCATCAGATGAAATTGCATGCTCAACAATTAAAGGCTATTCAAGCTACAAATTCAAGTTAGCTCTACCTGCTGCAGATAATCTTCGTGCATTCTTTGAAACGTCCTCAGCCACAAATGAAGTAGCAACACTAAGGAGAGGAATATTGAAGAGTTTTGAAATTATATTAAAGAGAGATAAAGAGACACCAGCAGAAGCCAACTCCACAGAACCTATATATGGAAAATTGAAATTTGAGAAGTGAAAACAGTGACCATGTGATGGGTAAGAAATAACCAATTTGAACATCTGATTCAGTAGCAACGAGCTCCAGCATTTGAAATAAGAATAAAAACACAAATTCATGTTTTAAGAGACAATTTATGAAGTCTGAGAAAGGTTGGTTTACATCTCCAAGATAACACTACAATCATAACAAAGGAACCAAATATCAGGTCTCAGCTTGCGGCACTCCTGGTCATTATATTTTAACTGGTGATGCAACAAGCACCAAGTTTTATCATGTTATCCCCATCACTGTACTTTCAAATACAAGCCACTGTAGTACCAGATTTGACTGTCAACAGCTCAAGAACATTATAAAATCACAAAAAGAGTTAGGTTCACCTATAATAAATAATTGTATATAATGATCTGAAAAAATTCTTTACTGTCAGTATGGCAGTAACGTTAAAGGAAAATAAACATCTCAGCACCAGTTCACAGATGAAACGCCATATAAATAACAGAGCATCCACCTTACCCAGACGACCAATAAATGCAGTCTCCATCAATTGTACAAGTGGTTCAATGGCCTGTCCCGCAAATGCTGGTAAAGACAGCATTATAAGCTCATAGATAGCTTCTTTCGATTGAGATGTACTTGAAGGAACTTCTGTCAACTTGCTATTACTTTCATCAATTCCAGAAGAAACAGTCCCGTTCAACTCACTGAATGAAATTAAAAGTAAGAAGTAAAATTGAACAAAGCACTCAATTTTCAAAGATAACTGAATGAAATAAACATATCCTTCAGGCTTCAGTTACTATAGCTTATTCACATCTGATAGAGAAGTTCCAATATTAACAACAGAAACAGTTACTATATAATCACCACCTCACCAGAAATCATCAGTGTTAGCATTAACAAAGAAATTACACACTGAAAAAACTGAGAGATTGTTTAACAAAAATTGAAAATTTTTTATTTGAACACAGAAGTTTGGGAAAATATGGCTTAGAGTTAAACTATGTTTTCATTCCTTTAATTTTCCATAGGGTGGAAAAAGCTCTGGTGTATATTTCCAAGAAACAAGCAAGTACATTTGTAAATCTCTTAACTGATAACTGAACAAAAATATCACAGTTCTCTGCATTTTACAACTTGAGACACCATATCAAAAGCATTCTTCACGAGTACTGCATCAAAATACTGCAAACGTAGCTGGATCTGCCATAAGTAAATTGGCTTAGAACTTCTAATTGATGCTCAATGTGGCCCTGTTCACACTTTAAGAAATCTAGCTTCCCAGTTTTATCTCTAGATTACGTGAAAACTAGTAATATAACGATCGGGCTAATATTAAAATATCACTCATCAGAGCTGATAAAATCTTCATGTGTACCCTCTATCATTTTACACCATGGTAGATTCTGCATTTTAATGCCCTATCATGCAGTATCACACCAATGTATGCATCATAGCTCGGAATTCAAATTTCAAGCTGATAACCTCATTTGAATAACATTCACACTAGTCATGGTACATATTAAAGAAAATAGAAGGAAACAAAGGATATAGTGAAAATGTGATAAACATTGGAAATTGAATAATATAAACACCAAAAAACTAAGTTATCTCGTCATATTTACTTATTACCACAAAAGGAGATGGAAGAAGGGTGTCTTACTTAAGTAGACTCGAATTTTCGGGAAGAATTTCTTCTTCGATGACAGAACTCTCCTCAAAATTATAGGACTGCACGCCTCTGTCTGAACTCAACCGAGTGTCGAACCTTGAAAATATAGGCTTCCTACGACGGATCATTGATGAACTCAAAAATCCTCTTGTCTTGTCCAAGGACAGAGAACAACGTCCAACACCAACCTCCACATTTCTCAGCCCTCTGGCAAGAAAACAGCAAAATTCTGTTGAATGGCTCGAAGAAAATGCCCATCTCCGACTGTGCTTATTTGTTAAGGCACTCCAAACCGTACCACCACAACTCAAATTTGCAGCCACCATTGGAGTTTTTTATTACAATTAATAGTGAAAATTCTGGCTTGCTTTGGTATCCAATGTGTCAGAAAACACACACGGAGGAGTGGAAGGGGGAGTGCGTAAAAGCAAGAAAATCCTAACCCTTTTCCCTTTCTCTATTTAAAATTATAGGTGATCACAAAGTTTCTAAAAGGTATGGAAAGAAATGGATTAACGAATACCGGAGAGAACGATACGGTATTATAAGGACTGCGTGGCTGTGCGTGAGATTGAGGTTTGTTTGCAATGGCCCGTTGTGTTATGTGTCGGTTTCACAATTGCATAAGAGTTGTGATTTTCGCGATAAGAAAAATGTATAGCAATGCCAGTTTGCTACTTGCTTTTCTGCTGGCGCCCGGGTAGCAGTCTTAGCCCCCATTTGGCCCGTTAATTTTTGTTTTTATTTCATTTCATTTTTCTCCTTTCTATTTTCAATCACACAATTTTTCATAAAATGATATTACACATAAATTGAAAAAAAAAATTCTTCTTTTTCAACCACTCATTTTTCAAAAAAATATTTATTCTACCCATTTTTAAATAAATAAATAAACAGATATTTACGTGATTCAACAATTGAGTTACATTTACAAGAGCAAAAGGACTACGATATATATAATTCACCGATAAATTTATATAATAAGGATTGCGTGGTTGTGTGTGAGATTAAGGTTTGTTTGCCATGGCCCATTTGTACAACGTCGGTTTAATAATTGCATAGAGTGTTGTGAATTTTGCAACAAGAGTGATAATAACATGTACAATAATGCTACTCTATCAGGGCCACATCGACCTTGGTAATGGTAATGCAACAGAGTCTTGATATGTAACCAATAAAGAAAAAGCAAACTGATATTTACGTGGTTCAACAATTGGCTCACAATTATGAGAGCGAAGGAAGAAGACCCTTGACGAGTGTGTTTTACTCATGACTTTAAATCAATTTTAACTTGATTGTAAAGTAGATTTTACGAGTATTGAACGTTTTTAATGTGTTTGTTAATGCTATTTTATAGGATTATTGAGATGGTGAAAGACATGAAAAAGATCATCAATTGAAGTTAATGGCATGGATTGAAAAGAAATTGTGGATAAAAGGGCAAAAGAAACAAAGCAAAATTGTTGGACGATTAGCATTCTAATGCCAAAAAGAGAGAAGAAACAGAGTGTGGGCGTCACAACGCCCAACACTACTGAACCTTAGCATGTGGCGCCAAGGAAGGCAGAGACGCCACCCTCCACAATATAGCGGCAGGCTACAACATCGCGTAAAGATGGAACTAAGGTGCAATTTCGGCCCGTTTTAAAGTCAGACGAAAACCCTACTATCCATACACAACAATGTACTGTAAATACAAATTTCTCACACTTTTGAGGGGTTCCATACATTGAGAGGCAAGAAACACACTTGGAGATTAAAGAAAAGAATTCAACGAAGGAAAAACATCAAGCAAAGGTTTGGAGCATTGATTGGAAGAGGAAGGAGATCTTGGTGCAAGAAAAATATTTTTTCTTCTACATCTTTACTACAAATCCGATGTTACTAAGACAATCTATTGCATTAATTAGAGTGATCTTATGTAATGTGTTTGCATACATGCATTGAGATTTCTGGCGTATTTCTTTTTGCTCTATGAGTTGTGAGAGAATGTGGTAATAAGAAGAAATATGGGTAGCCATTTTCTCCTTTATCTTTGTGAACCTGTGTGGTATGTGATTGTTATCTTCTTTCTCTTTGTGAGAATAGTGAAGTAACTAACTTTTTCTTCTATTTTATTTATGAGTGCCACCTTCACCATTTCCTTTGTAGATTTTTTGAACATTGGTGATTGGAGTAACCTTGTGGTATGTTGGTCAATTTAAATTGTGCCCTAATCTTTGTGGTCGTAAAAGGTAGTGTTTTGTCGTAGTGGGTTTGTTATGCATTAGTAATGTGTTGAGTGTCTTTTGATAAGGTGAAGTATAGATGTTAGGGGTACATTGTGGTTTGTATCGGGAGATGTGGAGTGTGACATTTGGATCACGAGTGAAGAGGTGATTAAATGGTGGAATCCTTTATTGATGAAGAGACCCTGTATAGGTAGGGTATAATAGAGGCATTCTATCACTTCTGATAGGTGGAGACCCATTATCTATATAGGTTGGGAGAAATGATGTGGTTATAGAGGATTCCCTCGAGAACTTAAGTCTATTGTGATTTACCCGTTAGATATGAGTTGAATAATCATCTAGTGAGCATGATAGGTGATGAGAGGAGACGTGTTCTCGAGGTGTGAGCAACACCGAATGAGATATGATAAGTGTGGTGAAATCTTTTCGTAGGGTCATTTATGCATTTTTGCATATGCGTTGGCCGTTTGATTGTTTAAATTGGTGTTAGTACATGGTTTTGTGTGAACATGTTTGAAAAGATTTGTGTGTTATCCTATGTTTTATCTTCATCACATGTTTATTTGTTGTTGATTAATTGCTATGAATATTTGCTCTACTTGAGTGTTCTTGACCTTAGCCCTAATGAATATATGGAGTAGATATGATATGTGTTTCAGGTTGAAAACACGAGGTAAAGTCTATGATCCTAATTTTACTGGCTACCTTGATTATGCTGGTAATAATTATGTGTTTTGATTGCTCGCAGATTTATTAGACATCAAGATGGAGATTTGTTGGGTTTTGATACCCAATAAATCCTGAGCGATGATATTAAATCGATGCTGAATAATTTATATCGACACCTTAGTGATGACTTGACCCAAAAACAAATTGGGACCACTGGAAAGCAACTTAATTGAGTTAATGTTGCTTGTGGCCTAACACTTGTGGATGGCCCAACACTTCATTGGATTAATTAATTTTGCAAACTCCTTTGCGTTATACCTTTTCCAGCAACTTGAATATGCCTCCTACAGATGTCCAATTGTCCAGCCTCCAATGAAATCCACACAGAGAATAGACTACAACTGTTATGATTTTTTCTCTTGTGCCAGCAAGAATTATGAAAACAATATGGATCTTAAACCCTAACCATGTATTTATATAAACCCAAACGGGCTCGACCCGATCCGATCCAATATTTAATTAATCCATTCAATTAAATCCGGTCTGTGAATTAATTAATCCAATTAATTAATTTGGGGTTATAAATAACAAATTCAATTAATTAATTTTATCCAACGATTGTTAAATTAATTAATTGGAAATTTGCAACCTTCTAATTCTTTTTTGTATGCGACCCATCAGGTTTCTGACCACGATGCCTAACGATATGAAATATTATTTTGATCTAATCAAAACTGATAAATTAAACACCCTTTTAATTTATCACAAATTCACACTCGCCGTCCCAGATTGACATCTAACAATATATCAGGGCAACACATGTGACAGGAAATGTCACGTGGTATGACAAAACTAAAACTGTTCGTTTACCATGAAACTATAATCCCTTCATTAATATGATCTGATCAACTATGAGATATGGAAGTGTGTCAATCTCGATTATCGATCATTTCTTTCATTCTACTATTAAGTCAATATGAGTCGAAAACTCCTTGTTGACTTATATGTATACATTGGCCAAGAATTTCGTTATTGACATAATTGAACGAAATGCAGATCACAATCTCTTACTATCTAAGAGTTACGAATCCTCTATTGATCATTCACAACCTTGATATGGTTCTTGACATACCCCAACGATGTCGTATTAGCGACCCTTGGCGGAGCAACATCTAACACCGTCAAAGTATGACTATTCTCATACAAAGCACTATGATGGCCTCAAGTCATAGGACCAATTCCACTATCGAACGTTGAAGATTAACCACTGACACTCAGATAGTTATCCATGTGGAATCTCTTAACGGGTCTCCAATGTTTTGTTCTATAACAAAACATCCACGTGTTCATTTAAGCGTTACCACACTTTAGCTCGTAAGATCAGCTACTTACTTCACAAGTAAGAAATGCCACACGTGATGGTCTATCTGTATTAACAATATCCATATCTCGTTATTGCTTAGGACCACGGTTTATTCAAAATCCAATCATACGTAATTTGTATCTCACAATCACAACTCCTTGTGATTAACAAATCACTTAAACTTGGATTTTCGGACTCTATTATTTAATATTATTTATCACAAAATTAATTTAAATAAATAATAAATCTTACCAAAATTAAATGCATTAAACATATTAAAAGTGTTTACAACCTAAATCGATTGGATCTAGGGCATAACACTTACAAACTCCCACTTGCACTAGATCCAATCACTCGTGTATCTAATACTATAAGTGTCCACATGACGATCATGTTTCTATTGTGACAACGGCTTTGTCAGTGGATCTGCAATATTGTCATCTGTGGGAACTCGCTCTATCGTTACGTCATTTCTTTGTATAATCTCCCTGATGAGATGATATCGCCTTAGCACATGTTTGGATCGTTGATGAGACATCAGTTCCTTCGCTTGTGCGATGGCTCCATTGTTATTACAATACAAAGGTATGGGATCAATAATGCTAGGTATGACTCCAAATTCATTAATGAACTTCTTAATCCAGACAGCTTCCTTCGCTACTTCAGAAGTAGTAATGTACTCGGCTTCCGTCGTTGAATCAGCGGTTGTCTCCTGTTTGGAACTTTTCCAACTAACCGCTCTATTGTTGAGAGTAAATATATATCCTGATTGAGACTTGCTATCATCTTTGTCAATTTGAAAGTTGGCATCAGTATACCCATGAATTTTCAGTTCATTTCCTCCATAGATCAAGAACACATCTTTAGTCCTTCTCAAATACTTAAGAATGTTCTTAACCGCTATCCAGTGTTTCTCACCAGGGTTTGGTTAAAACCTGCTCATAACACTTAGAGCATATAAAACATCTGGTTTCATACATAGCATCGCATACATGATAGATCCTATCGCCTAAGCATAAGGAATCTTATCCATGCAACTCCTTTCATCATGGGTTTAGGACACATATCTTTTGAGAGGTAAATCCCATGTGACATGGGACATAAACCTCTTTTAGACTCTTCCATATTAAATCTTCTCAAGATTTTATCTATATAGAACAAAGATTGGGATAAGCCTAGTAATCTTTTAGATCTATCTCTATAGATCTTGATTCCCAAGATATACACTGCCTCTCCCATATCTTTCATGAAGAAATTCTTTGACAATCATAATTTTACCGATTGAAGCATTGGGATGTCGTTTCTCATTAATAATGTGTCATCGACATATAATATTAGGAATACGACCGCACTCCCACTTGTCTTCTTGTAAACACACGGTTCATCTTCATTTTTTGATAAAATC